TAAAAATAAAAATAAATTTCTAAGCTTGGCCCCAGTTTTTGGAATCATGCTTGACTTTCTTCTTTCAAGCTCTTATGCAAGCCCTGCCTCCTGTCAAAGCATTTCTGCTTCCACCCAGCTTCTTTTTGCTCTAGGCCAGTCCACTCCTAGTCCAGACCACAGTGGTGAGCCTCTGAGAGCTTTCAATAACATGAACAGCCTGCTGTGGGACGTGTGCTGTGGGTTCGCCACCGTGAGCCTAGACCATCAAAGCCTCACCTTTTGTAATCTCATGAATCTTCATGTGTGTCAATCTCACCAATGGCTTCTGAATTGGAACAGCAATACCCTCGAAACAGAACTTTTGGTGCCCACAATGATCACAGCCCTCTATTAGCAATATTAAAAGTAAGTTATCTAAAGTATTTCCCACCCTCAAAGTGGGAAGGAAGTAATCTCAGAATGACAGTACTAGTGCCGGTGGGACCTGCCAGTCCGAGCCCAGGCGCAGTGTGGGTGAGACCCTCTTCCACCCCCTTGGGACCCCTTCCAAACTCCGCAGCACCCCCCCCACCCCGCCCACCCAGTGAGAATTTCTGCCACATTCTGGGGACACTCAGATCTAGTCCTAGTCCAGGCCCCGTGAGTGTGTGGGAGAGCTTCCTCTCCCGGCTACTCCCCCTGTTCCCCTTCAGACTCAGCTCAGGCCTGGTATACAGGCCTGGGGGGAAACTCTGCCACTGCAGTCCCTGCAGAGAGAGTAGGGACAAAGTCACCCAGCTAGTCCAGGAGTAAAACATCTTGCCAGAGGGGCACAACAGGTTCACTCCCAAGGGCAGCAGCAGGAAGGAGCTGAGCACAGCAGCCAGACCCAAGCCAAGCAAAGCAGGATAAATCCAAACTCTGTAGATCTGCATCTGAATTTCAGTAGGTGCTAAAGTTATAACCGCACCAAAGCTCTACAACAAAGGTCAGAAGACAGTGCTATACAAAATGACAACGAGAAGGAGCAAAATGCAATCTCAGAACCCAAGCCCACCCATAACAAGTGTAGAGGACACTAACACAGAACAAATTGGGAATCACACAGCTGACATCAATGAATCAACAGCTTCTGAAATAAAGAAACAACTGCAGAAAGGTATAGAGGAACTCAGATTGGAAATGAAAAAAGAAATCCCTAATTAATAGCATCTGCAGTAAAGAATTAAATGTAGAAACATATGGAGGAAACCCAATGCCCACCCAGAATAAGTGCAGAGGACACTAGCTCAGCTGAAATGCATGAATTAATAGTGTCGATAGTAAATAAGCAACAGCAGAAAGTTACAGAGGAACTCAGAGCTGAATTCTTCTCTACTACCTCAGCTCAAATGTGTGAATTAATAGTGTAGACAGTAAATAAGCAACAGTAGAAAGTTATAGAGGAACTCAGAGCGGAATTCTTTTTTGAAATAAAAAAGAATTCTCTGAACTCATAGCATCTGAAGTAAAGAATCAA